GTGCCTGTGGTAAACAGCTCCAATATATCCCTCCAGCCCCAGCTCCTGACTCCTACTTCCCAGTGTTCAGCTCTTCTGTAATCCCCTCTGTCACTGAACAGTAGTGATCTGTGAAACAAATAGGATGCCGTAGGGATGACAGGGTGTGACTCCCTAGGCTCTGAATGTCATGAAAGTCATCATGGCTCTGTCCTGCTTTCCCGGATCACTTATTCTGGGGAAAGTCAGCTGGTATGCCATGAGAACACTCAAATGGCCTGTGGAGGCTCTACATGGCAAAGAGCTGAGGCCTTCTGCCAACAGCCAGGACTAACTTCCCAAGAACTGTATGGGAGCCACCACAAAAGAGGTCTGCAACCCCAGCTGACATCCTGACTGCACCCTTCTGAGGGGCTCTGAGCCAGGACCACCCCAGCTGGGTCACTCAGATCCTGTACACACAAACTGAAAGATAATAAGTGCTTATTGTTATGAGTTGCCCATTTTGGGGTAACCTATCACACAGCAATAGAGGACTAATATGGTAACCACAGAGTAGGTTACAGAGCTTTCTTCCATCCCCTCAATGTAAGATGAAGGCAGCAATAATAGGTGCATCATAAGCTTGCTGTGAGGATCTTGCACCCAAGTGTGAACTTGCACCCAAGATGCCTGGCCTAGAGTCTGCACATAGCCTGGGCTCCCCAAAAATTCTCTACATCAGCCCTCACCTATTTCCAAAACTGCGCTCAGGCAACAAGCCACTGGTTATTCAGATATGGATGGCTAGTGAACCAACCAGGGACACAGAGGCAAGAGTCTACCCACTACTCCACCGCTGGGGGCTGCCTTCTTGGCAGCACCAGAGACTCAAGGACTCCCATGGCTGGGGGTCATTAGGAGCCTTCATGGCCTGATCTTTCCCCCTCCCCTACTTCAAAATAAGTCTCTTTGATATACCTTTGTGCATGTAAATCCACTGCCTAGATAATTCTTTCTCCAGGAAAATCCCTGATACCATGCAAAAATGTCCAGGTTTCAGCATCACTCCTCACAGCCTGCTCAATGCCTTTCAGATCTCCAAAGGCAGAAAGCATTTCCCTCCAGAGCCTTATATTTTCAAGCTGAGTACCCCCAGCTCCTCATAAATAAACACAAAGTTGGCAGACAGCATGACAGCTCCCCAAGGGAGAGGATGGAGGAAGCAAAGACCTGAAGCAAGCCAGCGCAATGACCAACTAAGAGAAGAGGCTGATGCCTTCCTGGAAAACCCCAGAAGTCCATATTGTCTTATCTAAACCCACCAGCATCAACACCTCATTGGGCTTAAGATCTTCCAGGACTAGGAAGGGCTCATAAACTGTATATCCTAGACAACTAAGCCCTGGTACAATGGCTGGATCCATACTAAAAAGGGTAGGAGCTGTGTACTCTCCACTAGACAAGCCCTGGGCTCAGACAGGCCTGGGTTGAGTCCCAGTTACACAGTCTACGGCCAATGTTATATTATCTACATAGAGCTGAACTGATAGTAATCTTAGTTGGTGTTATGGTTTAGATCCAAAATGTTCCCTCAAAAGTCTCATGTGTTGGGCTGGGGATTTAGCTCAGTGGTTTCGCCACCTGCTGCAGAAGAGCAAGGACTCGAGTTTGATCCCCGGTACCAAAAAAAAAAAAAAACAGTCTCATGTTTTGGAAGGTGACTGGATCATGGGGATACCATACTCATCAGTGGATTCATCCACTGATGAGCTCAGTAGCTGAATGTGCTGTTAGGAGGTGGAGCCTCGTTGGAGGTGAGTCACTAGGGATGTGACCTAGAAAGTGTATCCTTGTCCCCAGGTTCCCCCCTTTTCTCTTTGTTTCCTCACTGCCATGGGATGAGCAGCTGTCCTTGCCAGGCCTTTCCGCCATGCCATTTCTGTGTTGGAGTCAGCCTACTTTGGACTGAACCTACTGGAAACTGTGGGCCAAATAAACCTTTCCTCCTCAAGTTTCAGGTATTGTGTATTTTATCCCAGTGACAGGAAAGTGACCAATACAGTTAGCAACAAGGAAAGGATGAATCTTTAGGGAATTAGGATTTCACAGAGCCAAGGATGTTGTTCAGTGGTAGAGCACTTGCCAATTGTGTGTGAGGCCTTGGGTTCAATCCCAGCACTGCAAAGGGTGGGTGGGGCATCTATAAATCAAATCACTATTGGTCTTATAATCATCTACATCTTTCTCATCTTTGACTGTGGACCACTGGTGAGTTGTTCAAATCTGATTCGCAGCCCCAGCCCCAGCCCCAGCCCCACTCTAAACCTATGCAGTCAGATCCTCCAAGGAGGAAGTATAGCCATCTGGTTGAGTGTTTTTGTTCTTACAGATACATTCCTCTCCCGCAAGCAATGATTCTAATACGCAAGCAGGGATGAAAGGCACGAGTCCACAGGCCTCCTGATCTCTTGGGAGCCCACATCCTTCCTGGTGCCCATCATACTCTCAGATGATGCCCTCTGCTTCCTGGAAAGTTTCACCTACCTCAGACTCACAACTGTTCCTGTTCATGACCTTCCTACTCTGGGGTGATCCAGCCACAACATGGCAGTCATCCCCAACAGAAAAAAATTCCAATTTTCTGTCTTCTAACAATAGTAACAAGAACAAAACAACTGGGGCAGCTCCAGGGTCCTTCTTTTGCCCATAGTTTTGACAATGAGGAATAAACTCTTCTACTTTTAGCTAACACATTACAGATCCACAGAGTTCAGTTCTGGGGTTTCTCCAGATACCTCAAAGCAGTTAGTTCTGAATCTTCACTCTGTGTGAGTTACCTGGCAAACTTTCACAAAATAGGCTAACTGGGTTCCAGATCCCAACCCACAGATCCAGATTCCATGGCGCAGGGTGGATCTGGGCACCCCACCTTTCAAAGGCTGCCCAGGTAATTCTGAGAAGCAGCCACAAATGAGAATTGCTCTTCCAAGCTAAAATATAGAAGGCAAAACATCTCCAGTTAAAGTCTTGTCATAACTTGAAACAAGGATGCCTTCATAAGATACCCCCCACAGTGCAGTGCCTGGGGAGGTATCTTGGTCTGGCCCTGGTCCTGGCTCTGTAGAAGAAGAAGCCCCCCACTGCTTCCCTTCCACAGTCAACCTGGGCAGAGATGCCCACCTCACTGCTGACCTTGACATTCAAGATCAGGAGCAAAGCCCCAAATATCTAAACTGCTCCAGATCAAAGCTAAGCAGGGGCCGGGGATTTAGCTCAGTGGTTCTGCCGCCTGCCTTGCAAGGGAAAGGATACGAGTTCGATCCCCGGTACCAAAAAAAAAAAAGAAAGTTAAGAATCTTTGGGGCTGGGGATTTAGCTCAGTGGTTTTGCTGTCTGCCACGCAAGCGCAAGGACCCGAGTTCGATCCCCAGTACCAAAAAAAAAAAAAAAAAAAAGCTAAGCAGAGAACAAGTTGAGAAAGAGCTTCAGCAGAGAACTAAGACAACTATCACACTACTCCACCCAAAGGCTCCAAGCGGTAGTGAGTTGCTGCTGTTAATTAAAGAGGAAGATTCGTCCCACATTTAGAACAACAAAAAAAGATGAAGTCAGACAATTAAAAGGAAATAGTACACATAGCTATGTTCCTCAAACCCAGTGGACACAACACACACAATATGACAAGTCATTGCCACATCTTCACATACACGCTGAGTGCAGCTGGTGGCACTAGTTTCTTCCTAATTTCTAGTAGAGGAACACCAGCTCTCAGAAGGCCTAGATACTCTGGCTGGGTGCGTATTAGGTTATGCGGTCTTTTTCAAAGTCTTGCCAGTCACCGTACAGTAAAGTTAAGAGTGTTTTGGGAGTCACCCCATGGTTGCAGCAAACACTTTTTGACCTACTTTCCCATTCACACCCTATTTCTCTGAAATCTGTACCTCTCTCCCAAGCGTGGGTCCCTCAGCCATGTTTGCTGATCTTAACCATGTCCTCTTGACCTCAGGTGATGGGAACATGACTAGATAGTTGACTAAAGTGGGCTGGATAGAGTGTTGCTGCTCTCAGTGTAGAATGTTAGTTTAAATGGGGATAATATAAATGTGGCCCTTTGGGAAGGTCTAGTTGGACCACGTGTGCAGAAAGGAAAGAGAGCAGAAGAGAGGACAAGGGAAGGGGAGGTGAGAAGAAGGACTGCCCACATGTTGGGGGCTCCCAGGATACCTGAGCTCTCTGTCCACAGATGATGCTGTGAAATACCCCTAGCCCCTGAAATAAGTGTCTCTTCTGCCTTTTCAGCCTCTTTGAAATGGATTTCTGTTACTTGCTAACAAGAAAAGAAACTGGAGGGCCGGGGGTTTAGCTCAGTGGTTCCACCGCCTGCCTCGAAAGCGCAAGGTCCCAAGTTTGATCCCCGGTACCAAAAAAAAAAGAAAGAAAAGAAAAGAAACCGTGAATAAACTAAAGCCTCGTCCCAAGAGCCATACATTTCCAGAAATTTCTGTTTTTCAGAAATTTTTGCTTTTAAAGACTCTTTTTCTCTTACTGTTTCAAAGAGTACATATGCATTTAATGCAAATACGTATGCAATTTGCTGTGGCAGCTGATTTCAAAAACAAACAAAAAAGTCACCAGAATCTGGGATCGGCAAAAAGAAGCTCTCTAGAAAACTCCCTCATGAGTCCTTCCAGACAGTGAACACCTTCATCCGGGGCAGCCTGGGACAAGGAGGAGAGCTTCAGGGCTTTTAGTTTGATATAAACCTCTCTGTCTATTTTTGCTCTCAGGTGTGCAGCCCTCCCTGTAGGCACCAACTGCTCTGCTGTTCTAGAATGGGCCGGACAGGTAACATTAAATAACACCTACCTCAAAGAATGGGCACCAATGTTAATGGAACTAGGTTTAAATCAGTAACGTGCATCTATAGAGATTTTAAGAGAGAAACCAAGAAACTGAGTCACTCAGTTCACAATGGCTGGTTAGACCCTCTCTTCCCAGCCATAGCATTAGTACAAGGGTATAGAGGACAAAGTACAGACCTCCGGCTGGATGGCTTTAAACACAGGGATGTCCATTAGTGTGATCTGGCTCTGGAACAAGAGAGAGATGAAGTTAGAAAATCCTGGACATCAGAGAGAGCTGTCATGTTACTTTAGATCTACACAGAGTAATACATATTCATAAAAGTTGTACTTTTCCCTGTGAAATTTTTTTAAAAGGTAGAGTAAAAAACTAAATATATTTCTTGTTAAATTTAAATTAATTTTAACTAATACATTAAAACATTTACATGTTTATGGAGTCCCACGTAATGGCTTTATACATGTATACATTGTGTAATGTTTAAAATATTTAATGTTTGAGAGGACAGGTGTTTGACCTGAAACATACCTATCTTCTCAAACACTTATCATTTCTTTATGGTAAAACCATTCAAACCCCTTTCTTCTACTTTTTTGAGATATACAGTACATAATTGTTGTTATAATCACCCTACTGTGCAACAGCACCCCAGAACTTCTTTATCCTACCTTATTTAAGATAGTATCCATTGATAAATCTTTCCCCATCCCTCTGTACCCCCTACCACTCTCCCCAGCCTTTGGCAACCACCATTCTACTCTCTTTCTGTGAGATCAACTTATTTGTATTCCACATATGAGTGAGGTCAAGTGGTACTTGTCTACGACTGCCTCATTTCTCTTAACATAATGACCTTCACTTCTATCTATGTTACTGTAAATGACAGGACAAGTCTTTTTCCACTGTGGGTATGTATCACATCCCTTTACCCATCATCAGTTGATGGACACCTAAATTCTTTCCATTTCTTGGCTATTGTGAATAGTGCTACAATGAACATGAAAGTGCAGAGTTCATTTCCTTAGATGTATACACAGTAGTAGGCTTGATGGATAATATGATAGTTCCATTTCTAATTTTTTAGAAACTTCCACACTATTTTATATAATAGCTGTACTAATTTATAGCATGCAAGAGTCCCTATTTGTTCACATCCTCATCAGCACTTGTTGTCTTCAGTTTTTTTGATAACAGCCATTTTTCCTGGAGTAAGATGATATCTTATTGTAGTTTTGATTTGTATTTCCTAGATAATTGGTGATACTGAACATTTTTAATGTACCTGTTGGCCATTTGTATGTCTTCTTTTGGGAAATGTCTATTTAGATCTATTGCCCATTTTATGAGGAATTTTATGTTTTTTGCTCTTGAGCGTTTTTTTGTTTTTTTGTTTTTTTTGAGTTCCTTACATATTCTGGATATTAACCCCTTGTCAGGTGAACAGTTTGCAAATATTTTCCTCCCATTCTTTAGGCTGTCTCCTCACTCTGATGATTGTTTCCTTTGCTGTGCAGAAGCTTTTAGTTTGATATAATCCCCTTTGTCTATTTCTGTTTTCAGGATCCTATCCAAAAAAATCCTTACTACCATTCCAATGTTCTGAAGCATTTCCCCTGTGTTTTCTTCTCGTGATTTCATGGTTTCAGGTCTTACATGAAAGTCTTTAACTCATTCTGAGTTGAGTTTTGTAACTGGTGAGAGATAGGGGTGAATTTCTGAAATGTCTTTCCCACCCTTTTTTCTCTTCATAAATCTTGATTCAAACCCTTTTTTCTTGAATATTAGATGCAGTTTCAACTTCAGAATTTATAATAGTTATTTGGAGGGTGGGGCTGGGAATAAGGGAAAAGTTTTGACTTTGGAAATTTTTATACTATTTGAGGTTTTGTTTCAAGCATGAATTACTTTTGTAGTTTTAAAATGTTGCAGATACAATATTAAAAATTAGAGTGCTAGCCAGAGACACTATCTATTACTCTAAACTTACAATTATTTTTAAATTGCGGCTTATGGAAATTATACTTCTCTTCTGAAGTCAATGCCTCTCCTAAATTATACAGTAGAGTACTATTCAAGATGCATCCAGAGACCAATCTGGGGCCACAAACTGTTTACTCTCCCAGCCCACAATGAGATCAGTACAGAAGCTGGGAGCAAGCACTGGGAAGCCTTTATAGCAATTTGATATGGCCATAACATTTCTATTGTATTTGTTTTAAGTATCAGTCCTCAACAGATTGTAAATGAAAGAACTTGTCGTTTACCACAGCCAACTTAAGGACTCATTAATGTCAACAACACAGAAAACACACAGCAGGTTAAAAGGCTGTGCCCAAAGTTAGAAGCCATCTGGGGACAGTAAGAGAAGGTATCGTTACTGACAATTCTTCAGCCGACGCAGGACTGATCTGACTTCACATGATCTACCTACCTCCACATGTCACACAGGATACCCGATGTCAGTTAAAGATGCCTCTGCAATGGGCCAGGAAAGTGAGGACTGAGGGCTTTCAGGTGCCTTTTTTTTTTTGGTACCGGGGATTGAACTCAGGTCGTTGTGCTTTCGAGGCAAGCGGTGGAACCACTGAGCTAAATCCCCAGCCATTTCAGGTGCCTATTAATGTAATAAGACTGTGTCCACTGAACACAGGACATCTGTGATTATCTGACACCATGATAAACTGGGACTCTCTTAAAATTAGTAAGTTTAATCTTAAATTTAAGTTTAGAGTAATAAATAGTATCACTGGTTATCATGTAACAGCAACATTCTCTGATATGTGACCTAACTTCTCCCAATCTCAAGGGAAACATCTAGAAAATGGTGACAATAACCCCTCTTATAGGAAATTTATATATATATATAAAAGAGAATGTGAATTAATAGTTCCTGACCAGTTCTAGGACACTAGGAAATAAGGGATCATTGGTTGACCATCCAAGCACTGGAGTTGTTCTAGATGAAGTTGAAAGGGAGCTGTTACATTGAGTCAGTAGAAAGCCTCCTGTCAAAAATACATTGGAGAAAAAAAAAATTAAAGGAAAATGGCAATATATAGAGTATGTCACCTGCGACCACAATCCAGGGCTTAGGTGCATAATTGTGGTCAGCTCTTGGCACAAGGCAAAGATAGTCCAAGGTCACCGGGTTGCTGAGAAACACAGGATGCCAGCCAAGACAAACTACTCCAGAGCTGAATGGGGGGGGGGAGCAGATGGCTTCAGGAGAGAGAGCTTCTTTGTCCCCTTTCAAGGGTCACTGCTTCTCACGGGCATAGAGGTGAAATGCTGTCACTAACTGAAGGTAAAGAGACAGAAAGGAGATACCACTAGGCATGAGGAAGCCCTTGAGGGGAATCTGAGCTCCTCTACCTCCAGGTCCCCTTAATGGTAGTAAGGGGGCATCTGACATTACCACATCCTACATCTGGCTCTCATGCTCTTGGCCTCAAGTGACCAGTAAACCTCAAGGCCTACAGGCTCATGTCTGGCCCAAGTTACTGGGCCCAGAGTATATTCTGAGCAGTGCAAACAAATTAGCATTTCTTCTGCCAGACCCATGGAGATAATTAGCCAAGTGCTCCTTGTATTTGGATTAATTCTGCCATACTGAGGAACAGAAAGACCTTGTGAAAACAGGAGATCTGAGCTGTAAACTCAGAGAGCCTTGGAAATTTCTCCTGCAGTTCAAGTTAACTCCCTACCCGGGAGAACCGGCAGGATGTTTGCAATGTCATTTAGGAAAAGAACCAAAAGTCTGCTAATATGAAAATGAGAAAACTTCCTTTCCATCCTGCCATCAATTCTAAGGTTTGCTACTGAATTTCCAAATGATTTATTAAAATGATGACTTTACATTTCATGTTGTTTTGGATGGTCCAAGTTTCAAATATCCAGATCACCGCTCAGATGGTAAATCAGAAAATGCATGCATTCTATTCAAAACACACAACAGCAGAGGTCACCAGGATGGAAACAGACAGGCTGGGCCTAGACATATGGTGAGGGTTTTCATGAGACTTTGCCCTTTTTGTCCTCTCCACTCTGACCAAAAAAGGATGCATTGTCCAGGGAGAGACTATAACAACACAAAATACTTAGGTAAAATCACCAGATTATGAATGTCATGTCATTTTACTACAAAGCCAAACTCATGTTAAAAGGTTGCTGACAGCAATCCTTCCCCAGAGGCACGAGCACTCCAAGGGAGTGGTGGGTATGGGGGCGGGAACTTGAGGAGCAAGCCTAGCTCGTGGGACCAGTGGGACCCGAGCCCCCACGCACAAACACTCAGAAGAGATGTCTCAGCTTCTGGGAGACAAGGGCATCCCAGGGGCATTGTTCCTCACTCCACAAAAACAGACACAGGGGTTCCCACACTAGCTTCCAAACTGTAAGTTTGCCCAGCAGCGGGGCTGAAGAAACACTCATGAGCAAATCCCTTAATGGCTTATCCTTACTTGCGAAAATGAAATCTTAATACAGGATGTCCAGGCAAGCTGGTCACCTGGACATACCTCCCTTAACCTTAGTCTTTTCTTGACCAGGACTCCTAAGAGCCCAGGCTTTTAAGGGAAATGGCCAGTCTCTGCACATTACAAAGTACTGTACTTCTGTAGAGATGAACACTACAGACTGGAGAGATCTACGGGAGCACTTCACAATGTGGCCCCTAAGGAAGAAAGTGGTATCATGTGGATAAATGAAAGCTAGTTGGTTAGCCAAAAAGAGAACTGTTTTTTGTATACACTGAATATAGTATTTCTCCATTGTAACAGAAGCAGACTAAATCCTCTCTTCCTAATCATGGCAATAGTAGAAGGGTCTTCCAAGATCCCAAATAAACAAATTTAAAAAGCTGTTCACACAACAGTGGTGTATTTTATAATAGAAGACACTTTAAAATTTACAGTTAGATCACTCCACCAATTCAGGTCCAGGAGAGCTCAAAGAACAAAAAAGTATTCAACTCTAAAGATACATTCCTGGGCCGGGGATTTAGCTCAGTGGTTCCACCGCCTGCCCCGCAAGCACAAGGACCAGAGTTCGATCCCCAGTATCAAAAAAAAACAAAAGATACATTCCTTGGATACACATACTCCCAGAGCCACAGGAAGTACACGTCTGGCAATTCTAGAATCATAGTCAGAAGAACTCAAATGCAGGTTATGCAAGAAGATACCATTGGTCACCCAGCAGTACATCACAGCTCATGGGCCTATGAACA